AGTAACTTAGAAGTAAGTCGTTGGGTGTTTGGGAATGCATCGAACAGGAACTCGCTATCGAATCGAATCCAGCTGAGCAGGCTCCGTTGGTTAGGACACGTTTTGTGTATGCCGACGGTCGCCTACCGCAGCGCGCCTCGTTTTCAGTGGCTGTTATAGGCTGGAGAAAGCCACGTGGAGGCCAGAAGATGACGTGGAAACGAGGCATGAAGAAATGCAAAGAGCGATTAGGTAGAGTAGGTGTATCTCTTTTTCCGGGTTGGGGTCCAAAAGACTCCGAAACCGCATGGTTGAAGACACTGAAGGTCATGGCTGCGAACCGAGAGCAATGGCGATCATGCTGTCACTTCTTATCAGACCAGAATGCTTGAAATTGTATGTCTGCACAGTTGGGCTGTGTACTGTGTGTTGACCATAGAGGTTCGCTTTCTTTTCCCGTCCCTAAGAATAGGCCCAATCCCTGTGCTCCTTACACATTCTCACTTATCTTGTATGCATTATTGGCTTGGCAGCGATTAGTGAAGTTCGTTTCACTGTATTACGCTGGACAATGATGATGATGATAGTCAACTCCAAATCATTCGTCTCAACCCCGAACACAGTCCAAGTCCGGGTGGTTGTGATGAAAATATTGTGTGCAGCGACAAAAACTGGCATTCCGAGTGGTGAACTATTCCTTGGACCCGGTATCCCGCCACGTGATCATCGAACCGACTAGCCCTAAATGGATTAGTGACGGTGACCCAAGTAACTAGGTAACCTTTTTACATCGATAAGGAAACAATGTGAACTGGTGGAAATCAAGCACTGAGAGACAAAGAGATGGGAGTATCCACAGATCGTAACTCACTCGGCAGTGATACAAAGACGTCCGAATTTTGTGTAGGAATGCAAAGCATTACTGGTCAATACATAGACCGCATGCTCTGCCGGTCGTGGTGATGGGAACACCTGTTTTGTCTCTCCATAATTCACTTCCTGTCCGGATCTGGATACCATGGGGAGCAGTGGCACAGTTGTGGTGATGTAACGTTCCATGGAGACAGAATAGAAAGCGGTCATTTGACCCTTGAGTAGAGAAGTTGATAAAGGATGGAAAGAAGAAATGGAAATTAGTTTCCGTTCAAAATGAAAAACAGAGCTATTCCTGAAATGCAACCAAAAAACTTCTGTTTTACGAACTTCGACTTTACGGTGCTGTCAATCAGCGAGCTGTGATCAGGCTCCCAGTGAGTAACTTGATTTGGATGCCAAAATATTTATGAAAGTTGAAACTCGACGATTCATAACCGGGTGGAATTGTCATTCGATTCACAAGCGGTTATGCAGAATTCAGATCAAGAATATAACCAATGTATAACCTATCATCCTAACCGAGCAACTCGACGAACCAAACAGTAAGATAAATAAAGGAAAGATGAAAGATGCATCATTTGGTTACCTAACCGCGCTCAGGTGACGCAAGCGAATGGACGAGTTTGGATCACATTATGGATATCTTCCTTTGCGTAAACTAAGGGTTTCCATTCGACCTCCGGAGCTATACTCAGGTTGGTGAACCCCTCGCAGTTCACCTAGGGAAGTTAGTCAAAAACCCTGATTCCCAACCAACCAATGGTGGGCATACGAACCACACACATCCAGACCTGTTTGGTTGTGGCAGTGGTCACCGGCTTGACCGGGCATCTTGATTGTATGACCCCCTCACAAAGGGTGTATGACCCGATGAACTGGACACCAGCCTCCAATAGATTGCGGTTCTCACACAACGCCTCCCTAACTTGCGAGCCAGGCGTTGGCTAGCCGAAGACTCCAGTTGTGGATTCCCCAGGAAAATTCATCTGCATTGGCCTGGGCAACCTGGCAAAATTCGGCCCACATGTGAATGATGGAACGTTTTTTTATAAAGACTATTGTATCATGATTTGTTTGGCACACAGTCTGGATTCAGACGTGTGTGAAATATTACATATATTCCACTCGATAAACATCCTTGCATTTCTATCACAAGCAGTTACGGCTGATATCTTTGGTATCATACAGATGTTTGAGAATGCTCTCGCAAGGACTGTGTAACTGCTAAATGTGGCTCACGATGAACTAAATAAATTTCCAACTGTTGAAATGATGAGAACGTATGCATGTGTCCCTGCCGTTCACCAAATAAAGACGTGAGCGCAAGCTTTAAATCAGGTAAAAGAACCTGACCATAAAAGTGAAGATTGGAAATAGATAAAGGACCTCATTCGTGATGAATGATAGGACAGAAAGTTGAAAAGGATTTTTTTTGCTGAGGTGCAGTGTTTCTATCCGTCAATATAAAAACCATAAATGGATGGCAGAAGATGAAAATGGTGCTTATGAGTCCTAAGAATACGCACCCGAAGAATATAAATTTTACTAGAGACTTCATTCAAAGCTAGCAGTAATTCCAAGCTCATACTGTCACGGCTGAGATAGTCAGAGACCCCGATAAGAAATATGTGCCAACAAAATTTCATTCGATGCGAAAAGCATTGATTACCAACAGATGGATGCTGTAAGTGATCAGTAAAAAACCAGCTCTTACAGCATTAGAACTGAAATTGGAACGGTTATGTCACGTCCTTATAGAACTAGATCGGAAAGGGATATTTTGTATTATCCACTGCCAATTTATGGGTGGAATGATACAAATTTAGGACGCGTTGCGTTCAGAAAAACGAAAAAAAGTTTTACACTGCACTGGGTACTTCATCTGACTATGGTATGGACGTGTAGATGATTCGTAGGTTAGTGGGGTAAGAAAAAGTGTAAAAACAGTTGGCAAAACCAAAGGTATTCGCAGGCGCGTGTGAAAGGCGTACACCGAGATCTGCTCAGACAGATATGTCAAGGTCAAACTGTACTGGTGTGAGCACATCCTTGTGTGTGTGTATGTGTATCCACTGCCCGGTGTGGTCGTATTTGTTAGATGAATCGATCAGCCGTCCGCTACCGCGTACAGGCGCACGTGTTAGCATGCATGTGATTGTCTGAGTAGATTACTCCATGAACAATCCTACAGTCCCTATCGAGTGTACACTACTCGTTTATTTCTTATTAAAGGTTCAGGTATGTCTGGTTTCGATCTTCCTCTATTTAGATAACCAGTCATAGTTACAATGGTAACCTCTAACAATCAGGNAGGTTCTGGTTTGTTTTAGGGTATTGAGTATAACACATTTACAAGTCCAATCCCAGACTAAGGAATTATTTATTGCAGAAATTGTGGGGCAAATTAGAAAACAACGGACAAAACACGTAATATGGACACTATTTTTCTCGCTTATCAAGAACACCTCTGGATTGGCGGTTCAAAGAACATTTCACGTGCTCCAAAGCTCACGCATGGCACCCACTTCAGTGCAGCATTGAGATGTCTTGAGAAAATAAAGATTTTTCAACGAGCGAATGCACAGCACTACTAAAAAAGTGGGTAACCGCTTATGACAACAGGAAAAACGAACGTCAAATTCATGCTTGCCGAGGTTTGGAGTGCGTCTGTCGTTAAACCGACAGAAACGTTTTAGCTGACAAAAAAAAATTTAACGGCGGACGCGTTAATCAGCTTAACAGTAAGTGTCCAATATTTTTGGTCAGCTGGACTCGAGTAAAAACGGATTGACTGGAATAGTGCGCTTCTTCACATGAATGAAACAAATTCAGCACTCACCATACGTGTGATACACCAGATCAATTCTTCCAATGGATCGAACACGATATCGACCAGATGATCTGTGGGAAAAGCGGCATTCATCACCTCACTTCCAACAAGCCAATAGCCACCCGTATGGTAAATATCCGGGTTGGGCATAGTCGAATCGTATTGCGCACCCAATGAAAGAGAAGGCATAACCTGTCCGCCGGTATCGTTCGTAACGTCCAAATACTGTAAGCCCGAAGGCNCGAAGGCTCGTTCGATGAAAGAAATTCCATTTCAAGTCATCCGCTGAAATGCAAATCGATCGAAATGTACGAGTAAATAATGGGGAAAAGTAAGTTTCTATAGCCCGACTAGCGTTAGAAGTTAAACAGAAGCTCGCATAAGGGCCCAGTGATTTCTACACTAATGAACCAGATTAAATCAATAGTTTTGATTGAAATTATCAAACGGTAAATTCTTTACTCGGCACGGGATCATACTAGGCATGCAATGCTTTTGAATCTTGAGCAATTTCTCCTATGTTTGTCTAAACCTTTTTGGTGTTATATACATATTCCTTTTTCTGTACTCATTCAACGACTAACGTTCTGTTAGATAGCATAATAAACCGCACCTAATTAGACCTTTACGAGCGAACTAAATCAGCACATGCAAGCCCCATAAACGTCAGGAGTCCAAGGGACGACTCAACTTCCATTATTGTACTTCAGTCTGAACGATCAAGAGATTGAAATCTGTCTGACCTCTACCCTCTGACCTTCCAGGCATGATTTGGCAAAAACCATCCAGCTCGTAAGTTCGTTAAGAATGCCCAAGCCATTACACTAAGTCAATGTGCAGTCTAGTCGTGTTGATAAGAGACGACTACGGTGAGGGGTGCGGGTCTATGATAAGCAGAATATTAACAAGATGAGTGGGAACCGTGACGGCAGATTTGCCGTCGCAGTTCAGAATTTAGTAGGTCAGGTAATCGTTGAAAACAAACTTCTGCGAAATACCCTGAGTAGACCATTGCACGTATAGTCGAATGCTAAGCTATATAAAGCGATAATGGACCACTAGGCTCAACAAATTCTCTCTAGCATAGCAGTGAATCGTGTATTTTCTTTCTTTCTTTCTACTTGCCTTTCTTTTACTGAATATAAAATGATACAGTTTTCAGGATGGATGAGGCGGCCAATCAAGGGGGGGGGCTGTGATAAAACACAATCGGGAGTCAGGTGGTGGTGGTGATAATTTGGTAACGTTATCACATCGGGCCTGACAAAAATTTTCTTCTGTCAGGGCAGCGCTCACAGACGGATGTGAATCGGCTGTAAGAAAGAAGATACATTCTCTGGGAAAAACCAGAGCGGAACTGTTATGGTCCACATACAAGCTACTTGTTGGGATTATTCCAGACCAAGTGTCAAGTGAATGTGAGCAATTCACACGTGTGAATGAGAACAGGTCTTGACTTGGTCGAAATCGTCCTAACCATAATTTCATCTTTGGCCAGGATTAAGAATACAAACGCTGTAAAACGAAAGTGTTGTCTTGAATTGAAAGCAAATTTCGACTCAGTTGATCGTGTCGTTCGTTTGCTATGGGTAACAGAGAGGAATGTAGTACATCGAATTGGAGGGCTGCCAAGACCGCTTGGAATAATATTCCGGCTGTCAGTCTTCATCTGACACTCAAATCTTAGCTTCCCAGTGGTTATACCAGTCGTGTAGTTCCTATCTTCGAATAAAAAAGCCGAATAAAGCTCAGGACACTTCATATTAGATCCTCGCTCAAAGAATGGGCGAACACGGTGCAATTGCATCTGGAACACTCAAGCCCACATTTAGTCTACAGGGCTCCACACTATGAAACATCATCTGTACGGAATTTGACATCAACCACCGCGCGTGTGAATTCACCAGCCTGAAACACTCAAGATCTTGAGAAAACCGATTCAATTGACTTGATAAAGGTGTTTCAAGAAGGTTGGAGCATTGTCTTCAAACTCTGTGTATTGGTTTAACTCGTGGTTAACGACAGACATTATCACTATTATTGCAAACAAACGAACAGAGGATTATTGGGGGGAAAAAGTGCAAATGAAAATCCCTGCATGCACGATTAGACTCGAGACGCATTTAGAGTGAGCCAGTGCACAAGAATCTTGTGACAAAAATGAAACCAGGAAAGAAGTGACCATCCCCCCCCAAAAAAAAACAGCAAAAAGGATCGATCAAATGAATGCAACAAAAAGCATTTAGCCGAGATTCAGGTCAAATGAATCGATCGTGCCAGTTGTGCATTGTTGACTCATGCACACTGTAACCGAGATCGTGGAAACGGAGAAACTGGAGAACGATGTCGAGAAAATTGTGTGCATAAGTCGCATACCACACGATCAAATGGCAAGAAAAACAATAAGTGGGAAGTTAGTCAAGTTGATCTTAGATCACAGCACGATAAAAAAGAGATAGGCCCCATGGTAGCGAAAACCTCTTTTGTGTAGTGACTGGTGGCACTTGTCGATAATTTGAGCCCTGAGATTTGGAGTTCAGAAGAGAGAAAAAACGCAAAACTCAAAATGCGGGTAGCGAACGGGGTCATTGGTTTTCACATGAACTGAGAATGTAGCCGAACTATATAAGTTACCCAGGTGATATACCAACATAGCTCGGGCTGGAACGATTGTGAATCCGATATAAATCAAGCCGAAAAAACGCTTTATGCACATCGACGGACTCTATCACATTATCTTGGTAACTATAGATAGCAATCTTTATTGGTCAATCCACATCCTCAACTGCATTGATAAACTGTGGCACCTAGTATTTCAAATTCGAGAGCTCAGGTAGTTTCGCGCACCTTTTGTTCATCAGTGCGTTTTCCTCATTTCACTTTACTGTTCCTAGTTATCTTTCCTGGCATACTCAAATAGGATTTCAAAGTCTTACGCAGCGGTGTAACTATCATTAGCCACGTTTCTTCTATTCCTGTGAATGAGTTAGCTATCAAGCTTCCAGAGAATAATACAACTTCCCGTGTTAAGTTTGCGGAGTGGATTCTCGCAGACTTTGACCACCCATTGCACGTAGAACTCACACAGTTTAGAAGACACAAATGGCTGGGCCAATTGGCCATCCTTCCCTTGTATCTCGTCCAACGCTTCCGTACGACCAAGCGTCCGAAATAGGTCTTGGTGAGGGAACCCCACTCGATGTGCTCATTGTTTAGGTTTTCCCAAAACAGTGAGCGGACCAAATGTTAACATCCGGGTTTATAAATTGGCAGGTAAATAACTAGCGTTTCACCTAGGGCAACAAGCAAAACATTCTGATTCCAAACCAAACCAGCTTCCTGGTTTCAGAGACTGTCGGGCGTGGAACAGGTTAAACTACCGGTCCTTTTGAAGGAACAATATAACGTTCGCCTGACTAACCGGTCGTCCGCAACTGGGTGGACAACAAACACTTCTTTTCTTGGATGGAAGGTTTGATCCGTACATACGATGAACTCGTCGTGCAAATGAGGCGAGCGCTGAAGAGCTGTTTCGACCTGGTTCCGTCTCATCAGCAGTGCGAATCCATCGACCCAACTAGGGATCGAAACTCGGGACCTCACAGATAGAACACAAGCATACTACCCACTCGACCACGGGGCAGCTGATCAGCTTTTCAGCTAACGCCTCATTTACACGACGAATTCATCATACGAACAAATCAAATCGTCCATTAATCTCATTCAACAAATAATCAGGTTGTGAAAGTTTCCAACCGAGTCATAACCCCGGAGGCTAGTGCTGAGGTGGGCGAGGTCCGCTGCCCGCAACAAGCTCGCAAAGATGGGTTGCGCTATATCATGTATATTCTAATTTGAGAAACGGTCTAATCAGCTGCCCGCTGGCCGAGTGAGTAGCATGCCTGCGTTTTGTACCGTGATGACCTGGGCTCTATCCCCAGTTAGGTTGATGGATTCGCGCATTGCTGATGAGACCCAACCAGGTCGAAACAGCTGTCCAGTGCTTCCCAGATTTGCAGCGCTCACCTCATTTACACGAAGGATTCATCATATGAACTTTTCTTTTCATTTTACACTTTTCAGAAGAGGGAGGCGATCATTCAAAAGGCTGACATACAACACAGAATGGGAGAAGTCAGACAGTGGTGGTAAGATTTAAACACACGTCCTCTGGAGCGATAATTTGGTGACATTTAACACTCATTCACTACACTAAATGTAAAGAGACAGGACGCATATATGCGTCCTATACGTGGAAGATCAAACATAGATTCTTTTCTGATAGCCAAAACAATATATTTATTTCACCAAACAAAAACAACACCTTTGATGCATCAAATTAATCACAACAACAAAAAACAGAGTACCAAAATGCGCGCGCGCACACACACAATGATCAAAGTGACAATAAAAGGGAAAAACTGAACAGGATGTGCACGAATTTTATTTGGTTTTCAGATTTCGATATCACAAAAATAGGAACAGGCGAAATTGGGTATGGCTCGTTAGAAATCCACAATTTTGTTAGATTTGGACGCCGAGGACAGGACGCTTTCCGAAACGTTCGATCGGGACACATTGTCCGACAGACATGGGGGCAGATGCAATTTCTATAGAGGAAACACAAATACGACAACGGGTGATCAATATCGAACATTTAATTTTCCTGTCTGGTAGTATGTCGATCATATTATTGTCCACTAAAACAATTTTGACAAAGAGCCCATCCTCTATAACACAAATACAAACCAGGGTTGTGAAATACACTGAGACACTACTAACCATTCGAAATTATCCAGCGTGAGTAGCTTATCACTATGACGTTACTTTTGTAACAAATGTGTTTAGTTAGTTATTTTCATCGTAACCTTTCTCCGCCTACAGTTCTGTTTGTTCTGAGCATATATTGAGGATTGAATAAATTGCAGTACGTGAAGGCGTACAGATGTAGCGAAATGATCTAGGATAAACTAGATCAATTAGTGTTTTTGGCTGCTCTATTCACATTCGTCACGGGC